TTTTTCCTCCAGATGGTCCTCCAGGTGTTGAGATGGCATGGAGTGGGGGAGAGAAGCCACATGATGATATCATTCTCCCTCTTTTATACTTTCTTCCAGCTGTTAGAAAGATCCTTGCTGTGATGTGGGGGCCAGGCAGTGTCCATTGGTCAAGCAGTTTCCATTGCATATGTGCCTTCTCTAAGGAGCCTCTGTGATAGTGGTTTGTGTGTTGATGAGCCATTAATGAGCGTCTGGCCAGTGATGGCTACTCCTTTATTGTAACTGAAAGGCTGGCCGTGGGTGTTCCCAACCTCACAACATATTGCAGTAACACATATAGCAATACTTCATAACTTCACATATAACTATAGAACATACAATCCAACAGGATATTAATGTTCAACAGATCAAGACATTTAAAATGATACCTCACAAGGCATACTTTGTACAAAACATATCATAATTATATGACAGTGGTGAATATGGGGGTTCCAGGGTGCTGCTTTGAGGTACAGACTGTCACATAGAACAGGGTTTACAGCTGAGACTCCCAGGCAGAGAGAGTTGCACCCCTGCAGGCCAATTTTATATTCCTATCTCTGAGAGAGGCAGCGGGGCTTAGCAGCTCCCCTGGGCTACCTTAGGCAAGGAGCCACCTGTTTTTTTGTGAATCCCATTCTGAGGTGCCTCTCTCTCCCCATTCATTGTGTAGGGAGCCTAGATGCCTAACCCTGATTTTGTGAATCCCAGTGCTTTTCCAGACACCTAAAAGATAGGCATGGTGATGCTCATTTAAGTTATTTTGTAAATCTAACCCATGGTGTGTGTCTTTCGCATCCTTCAGGAATGCTGTACCCTTTCAAAGATTTTCCTCCTTTGTTTTTGTATGTTTTGGGGGAAGAGAAGAAAGGAGAAGTTACAATAACCTTGTGGTTGGGCACTCAGGCAGTTTGGTGCACCATGCGGGGGATTCTGAAGCCTTGCTCTATTCCAGCCCCCAGTGGTGTTTCTAGGGAGAGGCAGTGGCGTGGGGTTTTGGGGGTTAATTTTCAGCCAGAGTTCCCAGGCCTCTCAGGAAGGCATGCCTAGCTTTGAGATAATTAGGTGAAGCTGAATCCATTTGAAGTCAACATTTTAAAAAGATGTATTTTGCCCAGAGGAGAGAAACCTATGTAGCAGTTGTATTGATCAGAAGCCAAAGCAGTGTGTTCTAGGGACACAGCAAAGCTACTTGGTTTGGGTTGTACTTGTTTCTTGAGTTTACTGTTTGTAAAATTCCATGGATGGAAATTCAACTAGCAACGGTTTCTTAGTATCAATTTGGGTTAAGCCAGAATCTCTGGGGTAAATTGCAACCTGGAGAGGATGTGTTTTGTTTCGATTTCTCTTGTAGTTCTGCTCCTAGCCCCTCAATATGTCTCTTGAAACATCTATGTTTCAATGTTATGAAATGTTTAATGGTTAGAAAAACACTGCAGCTAGTAATTAGCGTAAGGAATTAAAGCATAAGAAAACAGGTGATCATAAATGATCATATGATGCTCTTCATAACAACTGTTTTTCCTTCTTAGGTGGGGTGAAGGGTAGGAATTGACTTGGGGGGGGGGGAAGGACCATTTTTACATCCAGAGTAAACTTAGTTTTAATAGCCTCTCTGCATTAGCAAGTAGGAAAGCAGGGAAAAGAACAAAGGATAGGAGTTCACCTTTGAAGTTTCTCAGGCTTCTGAGATCTTCTAATTAATAACTCAGTAGCAAACTAAATTGATAGCAGCTTTATTGAACAGGTGTTCTTTGTCTGAATAGAACAAACCAGGAGTCCAATCCTATTTCCACTGAAGTGAATGAGCCTGATTCTCTTCTCACTTACACTTGTGTTGAAGTCAGTAGGGCTACACTGATGAGAATGAGAGGATCAGGTGTAGAGAGTTTTGTTATTGACGTCAGTGGGTGCGCAGAAGCATTACCTAAAACATGGTGTGTCCTGCTCAAGTATACAGGAGTCTTGGGTAAAACCAGGCAGCATAGGGGATTACCATTTTCCCTGAGAACAGGTTGGCTTTGCTTTTGTTGGGAACACTGGTGGCTGTTTTGAAAGAGGGTAGTTCTATGCTGAATGCTGTGTAGAAGAGTATTACTTTCAGCCCCTGCTGAAAAACAACTTTCAGTTATTAAGAACAATGATGGCAAATAACTATTAAGTCTTTAAAGAAAAAAATCTAATATAACCAGTGCAGAAGATTTTTATGAGCTTTAATCATGTGGGAAGTTTAAAGAAGATGTAATTCTGTTAAGATCAAGTGGGAGAAAATTTTCCTGATGCAGTTCTAAATTTCTTTAAGGACCTTTTTAAAATTAATTTTAAGTTATAAGCCAGTGAGTGAATTTGCTTGTAAATCCTTTGAAAAATCATGCTGACCTCAAGAGAAAGTTACAAAATGGACCAATCCCTACTTAACTTCAAAACTAACTTCAGCCTTATCTATGGAACAGTAACCAGCACTTTCATAATGCTATCTTGCCTTTTCATCTCTCTTGCTATCTGATCTAAATCTAAATTTACAAGATTTTAGTAAGGGGGAAAACTATTTTCTTCAAAACCCTTAAATGATACTTCGTATAGCATAGGGTTACCATACGTCCGGATTTCCCCGGACATGTCCGGCTTTTTGGTACTCAAATCCCCGTCCGGGGGGAATTGCCAAAAAGCCGGACATGTCCGGGGAAGTAGGGAGGCAGCATAAGCCAGGGTCCGCCCGGCCCCAGCACAACCCGTTGGGTCAGCAGCGCAGCCCAGCCGCCCGGCTACATTGTAGCGAGCTCGGGCGCGGGAAGGGGGGGGCGCAGCCACAGAAGGCGGCGGAGGGGCCGCTGCTGCCCCCGGAGGCCGGGCGGACCACGTGCCCCAGCCGAGCCCGCAGGACCACGGGGAGGCCGGGCCCAGCCAGCGGCTCGGGCTTCCCTCATGGGCGGGGATTCCCCGGCCACTGGGGGACCCTTCCTGCGGCCCCATCACCCCGCGCGGCAGGAAGGAGGCTGCGGCGCGGGGCAGGGAGTGCGGCGTGTGCCGGGGCTGCAGGGATCCGCGCTGCCCCGGTCGCCGCTGAGCATCTGAAGCCCCCGCCAGGCAGAGGCTGCCGGGGGAGCGGGGGAGTAGGGCAGGCGGGGGGGTGCAGAGGCTGCAGGGCAAGGAGGAGCACGGCAGGCAGGGGCATAGAGGCTGCAGGGGCGGGGGGGCGCAGGGGCAGGGCAGATGGGGGGGCCGGGGGCAGGACAGGCGGGGGGTGCAGAGGCTGCAGGGCGAGGAGGAGCAGGGCAGGCAGGGGCATAGAGGCGGCGGGGGGCGCAGAGGCTGCAGGGGCAGGGGGGGGTGCAGGGGCTGCAGGGCCAGTGGGGAGCAGGGAAGCACTTAGCAACCCCCAACCAAGATCAGAGCTGGAGGGAGGAGGGGGAATGTGGGGTGCTCAGAGGAGGGGGCAGAGTTGGGGCAGGGATTTTGGGGAAGGAGTTGGAATGGGGGCGGGGAAGGGGTGGGATGGGGGCGGGGAAGGGGCGGAGTTGGGGCGGGGTCAGGGGCGGGACCGGGGCCCCGTGGAGTGTCCTCTTTTTTAAATGTTTGAATATGGTAACCCTAGTATAGCACAGTTAAAGTTTCATTATACATTTGAAAATAATAATGGCATTTACAAATCTGTTTGATGCACTTAAAAGCTATACTGGGGAGAAACCAACCCAATTAAGGTAAAATAAATACCCTAAAATCTCCATTCCTCTGTTGTTTACAGCAAAGACAATGAGACTTTAGGAGAAATGCTTTTAAGAATTTAATTTAAATTAAGTTCTTATGGATCTTAGACATTCTTTTTTTTTTTTTTTAAGGAGATAATGTTTCCACAACCTCAGGCATAGATAATTTTAGGAGTACTTATCACTGGCAAGTTTAATAAATAAATTTTTTTAAAAAAGGAGAGGGAACCATAATAAAATAGAAAATCAGTAATAACTTAAAAAACAAACCACCTGAAAAACCAAATGAGCAGTTGCCAATATTAATACAATGTGTCCTCTTCTCCATAGGTATTTAGAGAGAAAATAAACTCAGCATCTCATGCAATGCATCTAAGCACACCACGGCAGGAAGAAGATTAACCAAACTGACTTTATTCAGCACATTTCTAGTGTACTAAATCACTAGGAGAATGAAAGCCAAATTAAATGGATTTTCATGTAACTTTTATTTGATTAGCTATTTTTTGTGTGTGTGGGTGCAATGTATGGAACAGATTCCTGAGTGCTAAATTGGGCAACAAATTATCTTTAGTGGCTGCCAGCCCACAAAAGCTCGAAAGGCTTCATGACATCTGAAGGTGCAGAGGGCTAATTCAGATCCCTTGGGGGAGATTTAAAACTTTCTATGTGCTGCTTGCCAACATAGACGCTCACACTTAGGCCTTTTGTGGTGTCCCTCTCCCATCAAGTAATCCATTATTCTTTCAAGCCAATGCAAGCAGAGAGATTATGTTGCCTTCCACTTGCTTATAATGTCTTACAACACTTGAATAAAAGAACAAATTCTGCTAAATGTCTGACACCCTGAAACTATTATTGCTGTTAACAAAGGAACAAGATCCTAAGAGACTAGATGGTACGGTATAATGAATTGGCTTTTAAGCTGTTTTGTTGATGGCAATGTATTTAAATTTTTTTAAAAAGAGAGAGATTTAGAGCCAATCTTTCTTAAAATATGCATGCACAGTTCCTGCTCAACTCCATCTGGGAGCTGCATGTGTCTATGTAAAGGTGTAGTATTTGCCCCTTAGAATAGAGAGGACACCAGTTTATTAGACCTGTAACATGTTCAGATAGGGGCTTACTTAGTTAGTATTTTGGATGTAGACTACTTCATAATCTTGTTTCTTTTCCTTTGAGAGAAGAATATTCCTCCCCCATTTTTTTTTTTAATTTGAGAAAATAAGATGCCTTAATTTTTCATTTTACTGTTCATTGCTTTTCTTTCAGCTTCTTGCCTGATTACATCAGCGGCGACTTTGATTCCATTAAGGCTGAAGTCCAGGATTACTACAAGGTCAAGGTAAATTAAATCCCTTTAATGTATTTGCACTGGTTTTTGTTAAAGCACCATGGGACCCAACTCATTAGTGAGAAATCCTTAGCACCTACTGATCATCCTCAATTCCTCTTGGCTTCTGAGGAATTTGACCAGGCCTTGTGTTATATGAGTGGCTCAATACAATTTAATAAGTAATAACGTATAGAAAAAACAAAGCGACTTTGAGGCAGTTGGCTTTTAGTTGGGAATTTGCAGCATTACCTCAATATGGTAGAGATGTGTAGAGATTTTCCTGGCAAGAAACTATTGCGAACTTTCTGAAAGTCTGAGTTTGAAAGACTGTAGTTTTTCCTAACTAATTTTTACTTCCTGATCTCAATCTCCTATGATTTATATGTAGCGGGGCACCCACATAAGCTCTACAGATATTTTCAGAAATGTGATTTTTCATGGGCTACGATTTTATCCTTCAAGCAACAAACAGTATGTTAAGACTTTTTTGCTGCTGCTTTCTTGATCACATATTGAAACAAGTATCAGATGTAAAGGTAGCCATCTTACAGCAAAAAAACTTCAGGACCAGACTCCAAAGAGAAACTGCTGAGCTTCAGTTCATTTGCAAATTTGACACCATCAGATCAGGATTAAACAAAGACTGTGAATGGCTATCCAACTACAGAAGCAGTTTCTCCTCCCTTGGTGTTCACACCTCAACTGCTAGCAGAGGACCTCACCCTCCCTGATTGAACTAACCTCGTTATCTCCAGACTGATTCTTGCCAGCATATTTATACCTGCCCCTGGAAATTTCCATTACATGCATCCAACGAAGTGGGCATTCACCCACGAAAGCTTATGCTCCAATACATCTGTTAGTCTTAAAGGTGCCACAGGACTCTCTGTTGCTTTTTACATATTGAAACAGTGAGTCCTGCACTGACTAGCTCTGCACTTGACTAATACAGACTTCAATGGGACTTCTGGACAGATCCCTGCATACCTTAATTTGTAACTAATGCAGCCAGCACATTTTCCACCAACACAGTTAATGTTAACCTTTTCCCTTTTCTTAGGTTTTTGCCTTGGCTATTGATTAAACTCCCCTTCATATTTAGAGTCACCACATCATGTTTAGAATCACTATTGTTAAACTACTGTACATTAGAGAGAATGGTGAGTGAGGTAAAATCTTTTATTGGACTGCACATAACATTTTAGCAGTCTGTTTGTCTGGGACTTTGTGTTCTGAGTCTTACCCTCAGGCCTAAGAAAACTGACCTTTTGGAGTAACATCTGTGAATTTGCAGAACTCTGCTTATAAGCACCCCAGGCACTAGTTACAAACATGCTAAATGACTGTATGTTCCTCATGAGGTGGGTAACTTAGCCTCAGAAACTCACAGATCTGATATTTCTTCTTTGGGTTTCAGCTGTGTAGGAGAACATACAGAAGGATGCTCCTACTGAGACTGAAATAGAAAATAGCTAATGGCCCAATTCTCCTCTGCTAGTTCAGCTGTAATATGCTACCACTCCAGGCCCAACGCGAGTTCTTGCTTAAGGCACAATGGATGTAAGGTGCTTTGTTGGCATTGTCTTCTGATCTAAGAGCTCCCATCTGATCATGAGTTTTCATGTGTTGTGTTCCTAAGACCTAGAGTTTCCATCTTCTAACAATTTGTGAATTTGATCCAGATTCAGCAACTAATTTAATTCCTCAGAGCTCATGCTTAATTGGTTAATGTTTGCAAAGTGAAGTTTTAAAAAATGTTATTTGTGCTAATTATTAGTGTTTATCTGACTCATTCTGACTAAGTAAACTGCTAATTTCAAAGTGTAGTGGGAGATCAGGCTTGAAGAGTGCTACCACAGAGAACATTTGACTTAATAGTTGGTTGTACATTGTGCTGTAAATTACACATTGGTAAGTGGGTGTAGCTTACATGTCAACGGATTCAAACAGCTGTAATGTAGTGGTGGGGTTGGTGAGGGAGAACTAGTAGGAGGGTATTAGAAGGTGTATGCTATATCAGGAGGTGTTGCACCTTTTTATGCCAGTTCCTTTTCCTGTTACAATTTATATGATAAAAGGAATGTTTTAAGCACTTAAAGGATATTAAGGTTTATAAGGAATAGCCAACATAGGTTGGTTTAGCATGGTTTGTTCTTGACAAATCTATTTCCTTCTGTGACCGAGTTACTGGCCTACTGGATGGGGGGAGTAGTAGATATGATCTATCTTGATTTGAGTAAAGTTTTTGACACAGACCAATATGACATTCTCCTAAGCAAAGTAGGAAAATGTGGTCTTGATTAAATTTCTATAAGGTGTGTGCACATCTGTTTGAAATACTGTAGTTATCAATGGTTCGTTGTCAGTCTGGGAGGATGTATTTAGTGGGGTCCCTCAGAGACCAATCCTGGGTCTGGTACTAGTCAATATTTTCAATAATGACTTGGATAATGGTATGGAGACTAAAATTTGTGGATGGCATCAAACTGGGAGGGGTTGCAAGCACTTGAGAGGACAGGATTAGAATTCAAAACACCCTTGACAAACTGGAGAACAGTCTGAAATCAAGAAGATGAAATCCAATAAGAAGTGTAAATTACTTCACTAAGGAAGGAAAAATCAAATGTACAACTACAAAATGGGGAATAACTGGTTAGGTGGTGGTCATGCTGAAAACAATTTGTGGGTTAGTGGATCACAAATTGAATGAGCTAAACAGTGTGATGCAGTTGCAAAAAAGGCTAATATAATTCTAGGGTGTATTCACAGGTGTGTCATATGTAAGACATGGGAGGTAATTGTCCTGTTCTACTTTGTACTGATGAGGCCTCAGCTGGACTACTGTGTCCAATTCTGGGTGCTATACTTTAAGAAAGATGTGGATAAATTGGAGAGAGTCCATAGGAGAGCAACAAAAAATGACAAAAGGTTTAAAAAAACCTGGGTGTGTTTAGTCATGAGAAGAGAAAAGAAAAGGGGTGAGGGGGGGGAGGGAAGGATCTTATAACAGTTTACAAATGTATTAAGGGATGTTATCAAGAGGACTGATCAATTGTTTTCCATGTTCACTGAATATAGAACCAGAAGTAATGGGCTTAATCTGCAGCAACGGAGATTTAGGTTAGATATTAGGAAAAAACTTTCTAACTATAAGGGTAGTTAAGCTCTGGAATAGGCTTCTAAGGAAGGTTGTGAACTCCCTGTCATCGGAGATTTTTAAGAACAGGTTGGACAAACACTTGTCAGGCATGCTCTAAGCGTATTAGGTCCTGTGTCGCCACAGGGGTGGCTGGACCTGATGACCTCTCAAGGTCCCTTCGAGCCCTACATTTCTGTGATTCTGTGACTTAGGGTACGTCTACACTTACCGGAGGGTCCGACAGCAGGCAATCGATGTTCTGGGATCGATTTATCGCGTCTGGTTTAGACGCGATAAATCGATCCTGGATCGATCCCGGAAGTGCTCGCCGTCGACGCCGGTACTCCAGCTCGGCGAGAGGAGTACGCGGCATCGACGGGGGAGCCTTCCTGCCGCGTCTGGACCCGCGGTAAATTCGGACTAAGGTACTTCAAATTCAGCTACGTTATTAACGTAGCTGAATTTGCATACCTTAGTCCGAAGTGGGGGGGTAGTGTGGACCAGGCCTTAGTCCACTCTGAATTTGGTCCTATGTACCATTCAACTCTGAAAAGAGTGTCTGTAAGCCCTATAACTTTGTATTTGTGATTTAAAGATCGCAAGTAGTTCAATGTGATTGTACGACTGTAACTGAGGGCATAATCTAATCTGAAGAATCTGTACTATTGGTGGTAGTGCCTGAGCCAGAAAAGACACCGCTCGACTTGAGATCCTGTAGGGGTGTGCTTGGCTGGAGGAAATAAATTTTTTTTTTTTTAACTGAAATAATTTGGTCTGAAATTCAGATGTAAATGTGGAAGTAAATGTATGAAATTTTTCTGTTGGGGGCAAAAAAGTAGGATTTGGCTAGTACTCCACACTGTTGTCTCCTACGGCAACATTTGGGCTAGTAAAGGACTAGCAGTAGTTTACTCAGTTCCTATAGCCATCTAATTTTGTTTTCAGTCTGTAATATACAGTACACCTATGAATCACATAAAAATAGATGATGCCTACCCAGATACGTTGGGCCAGGTCCTCAGCTGGTATAAAATGGCAGTTTCCTTTTTAAATCAGTGGAGCTACACTGATCTGACTTCAGTGAAGCTAGGCTGAATTATACCAGCTAAGGCTCTGCACCCCTATATGTAGGGCCCTACCAAATTCACAATCCATTTTGGCCAATTTCATGGTCATAGGATTCTGAAAATCGTAAATTTCATTATTTCAGCTATTTAAATCTGAAATTTCACAGTGTTGTAATTGTAGGGGTCCTGACCCAAAAAGGAGCTTGTGACCCCTCACAACTTATTGGGGCTGGAGAGGATTGCAGTAGTGCTACCCTTATTTCTGCACTGGTGCTGGCGATGGTGCTGCCTTCAGAGCTGGGCAGCTGGAGAGCGGTGGCTGCTAGCCAGGAGCCCAGCTCTGAAGGCAGAGCCACCACCAGCAGCAGGGCAGAAGTAAGGATGGCATGGTATGGTCTTGCCACCCTTACTTCTCTGCTGCTGCATGCAGAGCTGGGCCCTCAGTCAGCAGCCACCATTCTCCTGTGCTGCTGCCTTCAGAGCTGGGTGGCCACAGTAAGGGTGGCATGGTGTGGTATTGCCACCCTTACTTCTGCGCTGCTGCTGGCAGGGTGCTGCCTTCAGAACTGGGCGCCCAGCCAACAGTTGCTGCTCTCCAGCCACCAGCCGCCACTCTCCTGCTTCCACTGAAGGCAGCGCAGAAGTAAGGGTAGCAATACTACGGCCCCCCTAAAATAACCTTGCGACACCTCCCCCCCTGCAACTCCCTTTTGGTCAGAACCCCCAGTTTGAGAAACGCTGGTCTCCCCCGTGAAATCCCTATAGTACAGGGTAGAAGCATACAAAAGACCAGATTTCAGTCC